ACCACCACAACCAACAACAACAACAACAACAACATCACCACTACCACCACCACCACCACAACCAACAACAACAACAACAACAACAACAACATCACCACCACCACTACCACCACCACCACCCCAAAAAACCAACCATCTCCTGCCCTCAGATCGACTCACTAGACATAGAATCCGGGGCCGACATTCTCAGAGTCTACTCGGGAGGTCGGACTATCAGAGCCAGTAAACTCCTGCAAGAATTCAGTGAGCCCACAGTAGGCAGCGTCGTGATTCGAGGGATCAACAACTTCTTCATCGTCCGACTCCTGTCAGATGGTTCGGTGACAAAAGGAGGCGTGTCTGCTCATTGGGAGTTAGGTATGTTGGTGCCCACACTTATTATCACTACCTCAGAATTTTAATTAATAGTCGACAGCACCTTGCTTTTTTGTATAAGCATTTTTTTATTGTCTGAAAGAATGTTGCTGTCAAAATGTGCGCACATGATGAATTTGCATGGTGTTAGTATGAATGCGTTTTTAATCTCCTATGTACGCCTTGGGCTTATGTTGTGGGAAAAGGCGGGATACAAATGCTCTTATTATTACTAATTATAAAAATCGTATCTGACATTTTTTTACCGTTTTGATCAAGATGAAGAACTTGTTGTCAGAAACCAAATTATGCTCTATCTGTTCTATCAAAATCATTATAATTTTCGGAGTCTTTTTCAAGATATTCAAAGAATTGCATTCGGAAAAGATTGACATATTAATTATGTGAGACGTGCTGACAAAATGAGTTACTTCTCACTATCCTCAAATGGAGATATTAGCCAAAAATTGACACGTGGTTCAAATTTGTAGATTTTTGTTAAAGTTTTTGCCCCTTGTTCAGTTTCTTTAAAAGACAGGGAGAGTTTTTCTCTATAACCAAACAAATATACACACCAATGAAATCAAACTTCTCCTACAGGTAGGGCAATGCCCACTTTTGGTGTAGGTCAAGATTCTGGAAACCCCTGAAACCTGGGTTAGCCCGCTTGTCCTTCAAAGCGCCTGTTTTTCTTTTCACAGACACAGAGCGCCAGTCCACAGTGGCAGAGGTTGCTGTGACTAATGTTGAAACCGTTGTGTATTCAATCACTACCCCTGTGAAGACGCCTCCTTACAAGAGAGAGTGGTTGTTTACGACTGCACCAGGCCAAATCATTATGCTTACGGTGAGACCTCTTTCCATGGAAAAAAAACAACCTCGCCATGCTTGTTCTTGTTCTTGTTCTTGTTCTTGTTCTTGTTCTTGTTCTTGTTCTTGTTCTTCTACTTGTTCTTCTTTTTCTTCTCCTCCTCCTCCTTCTTCTTCTCGATCCTCCTCCCCTTCCTCCTCCTCCTCCTCCTCCTCCTCCTCCTC